ATTCAAAACGACCAATAGATGTTTCATTTGTTGATTTTGATGTTAAACATACAGTTATAACATGATTGATACTATCTGTTACAATTTTTGCTGCATTAGTTAATTGTTGTTTCGATTCATTTGTTGTTGTTTGTGGTTCAATAGAAACTGTTTTAACTTTTTCTAATAATTGATTTGATGATGTATGAACATTTTTTAATGATGTTATAAGATTTGTACGTTTATCATCTTGTTGTTGATGATGAGCTAAATCAATTCCATTATTAATAAAATTTCCAAATGCACGAGTAAAACTTGTTGATGTTTTAGCTAAATCTTCTGTTGCACCTGTACGTGTACTATGAACTAAATCAGTTGTTGCTTGATTAAGATTAGCTGCAGAACGAGTTATATCTGTTTGTTTTTGTTCAAAATTTGTTGATTGAGAAGAGTTTTTATCAAATGGACCAGCTAATACGTAAATATATTCTGACATTTGTTTAATTGCATCATCAAGATAACGTTGTGAAGGCATTGTTGATATACAAGCATTTAATGCTGATGAAACTTCACGGGCTATTTCAGCAAGTTTATTTTGTATTTCAAGATCATTTGGTGTGTGAATAGCTTTTTTAGCTTCACGAACAAGATTTGTTGAATGTTCGAGAACTTCATGAGAACGTTCAATAATTGATTCTTGAATTTGATAATTAGTTGTTGTTGCAGCTATACCACGAGTTGAATTAGTTAATTTACGAAGGGTTTGTAATATTTCACGTGTACATGTTTCAACAGTTTTTTCATCACTCTATATTTAAAAAAAAACAATAATTTGTATATAATAGTAAAAGAGAATAAACATACTTGAGTGACAGCACTGAGCAATTGAGATATAACTGTATTTACTTGTTTACAAACGGAACATAATTGAGCAGACGATGTATCAACCTAGTTAAAAGAGAGAATGAAAAAAGTTTTTTTCTTATTAATTGTTGAAATAGATTATGGTGAATATTCCTCGAAACATAGAAACAACTACTATAGTTCGCAGAATGTAACGATGAATAAGCTTGCATGAGTCAATTATATTCAGAGCACAAGAGAGAAAAGAACAAAGGTAGTAAAGAACGCAAGAATAAATACTATTAAGTAAATAAATAGATATCGACTGTAGGAGTTCTTTTTTTTCTATTCAAATGAATTGCTCTTGCAAAAGGCAATGATTTTATTGATATCTGTACTATTAAACTTACCGTTTCATCTACTTTAGGTCTTAAATGTCCATCTTTTGCTTGTCGTTTTATTTCTTCTAATTCTTTATCGAGCATTTCAATTGATTCAACAATTGATTCTACATCAAGTGGCACTGAACCACATAATTCTTGAGCCTAAACAATAATAATTTCAAACTTTTGTTAGATTTGACATAATTAGTTTTCTTACGCGTATTAAATAAGTACGAAGATCAAGTAATGCTTGTGTTAATTGTTTTGAACTATTATTTAAATGAAGAGCTTGAGATTGATCATGAACAGTTGGTACAGATGCTTTAGCTAAATTAGCTAAACGTGTTGCTGGACCAAAGAAATCTTCACATGCATTCAAAAGATTTGCTTGTGATGAAAATGAATCTGGTTTAACCATACAACCACGAATACCTTGAACAACTTTAGGTATAAGATCAGCAACTGTTTTACATTGTTCAACAAGTTGTTGATGAGATTGTTGATTTTTATTTGTCATTGCTGAACCTGATGTTGCAGCAATACATTGTGTTGCACATGATGCACAATGTCGAGCACATTGTTCAACACGTTTAAGTATTTTTCGTTTTATACTATTACTTGTTGCAATATTAGTTGCCGATCTTTAAAAAAAAATAAATAAATAGAAAAAGTAGTATTTAATTTTTTTGAATATTTACCGAAGTTCTTCAGCTGTTCTTTTTAATTCATATTGAAGTTGTGTATCATTTGGTTTCGATGCACAATTTTTAGCTGAATCAACCATTTTAGCTGTTGCATCAGCAAGCATTTTAGCGGCTGATAACAATTTATTTTGTTGATTTGTATCATCACCAGCTAATTCAGCTTGTTGTCTTAATGATGAGACAAGTTGAGCAGTTGCTTGTGCTAAAACTTTCGCTTGTTTAACCATTTCAACAGCATCACCAACACATGAAAATAATCGATCACTGGCTGTTAAAATTTGATCTATTGATTGATCTTGATATTGTTTAACAGTAAGATTTTCTTCATCTTGTTCTTCATCTTCTTCTTCAATTTCATCATTCGCAATCATTCGTCGCGTAATCGTTGTTGTTGTTGTTGATTGTTTATCAATTCCAATATGTTTCTTACCATTTGAAGTAAAAGAATAATTACTATCAGAATTTGCTGCTAAACTATCTGTTACTAATTTAATATGAAGTAGAAAATCATTGAGACTTTTACGAATTGTTAATCCAGCATTTGTTAATTCTGAATGTTGTTCTTCATTTGTTATCGGAGGTTTACATGATTGAAGAACAGCTTCAATTGAACGTGTTACACTACGAGCAGATTCTATTAATTGTTCTTGACATAACGGACTTGAAATTGTAGCAGCTACAACCTAACAAAACAAAAAATAGAATAACATTTATTTTCTTATTCAATTAAAAATTCTTACTTTAGTACAAGCAACTAATTGTGATGTTGCTAAAGCACATTGTGTAGCTGTTGAAATAATTTCATTAACATTTTGTTGTTGTTGTACATTAGTTGCAATATCTTTTGCTTTAAGTACATATGATGCTGTTGTATTTGCAACAGATTTAGCTAATCCTAATAATCTATCTTGATATTCAATTGATGAATCAAATGGATTGATTGTTATTTCATTAGCTAAACGTCGAACAAGATCATGACTTATTTCACCTAAACGTGATGCTGTTAATAAAATATTTTGTCTTATCGATGAATCAGTATGATTATCTGATAATGCTTCAATATGTGTTAATAAATCATTAAATGTCGAACATAAATGACTTGTTTGATCCATTAAATTTGTTTTATCATTTATTAAATTTGTATAAATATCCATTTCTTTACAAAATTCATTTAAATTATTTGTTATGGTTGATATAGCAGCACCAAGTGAATGATTATATTCAGAATTTCGACGATTTAATTGTTGATTGTTATTTATATCAGATGTTAATATAACAATTTGTGCTGTTGAAGCATTAATAGCTGATAATTCACTTGTTAATAATTGATGACTTACATCAAGACGATTTTCTATCGAATATTCTTGTTGATTATCCTTATAAATAAACAAATAAAAACAATAGAATTTTATTTTAAATATAAAAATCTATAAGACATACAGTTAAAGATATTGATGATGGTTGTTGAGTATATTCCATTTGTAATTCACGTGCTAATTGTGATTGAGCATAATTAACCGTATTACGAGCATTTTCAATTGAAGAAAATAGTACTGTACCACCAGTACCACCATGTAAAATAGATGATAATGGTGGTTGTTGTTGTTCCTATATTAAATAAGAAAAATAGATTTTTTATTAAGAAAGAAAAAATAGATTTTTGTTTTACATGGATTTGTGAATTGTAATAATCTTCTTGTTCATTATCTGAATATATTGGATATGGTGGGTTAGAATAATATTCAGGGCCATAGTATTGATAGTGAGGATGAATTGGAATATCTTAAAAAGAAAACAATAATTAAGATTTTCTTGAATATATTTTATCGTGTTTCTACGGGATTTTCACGTATACATGTTTTTTTCTAACTCTTGATCTTTGAAATGTTATAAGAGAAAATCTCCGAAGTTGTTTACATATTATTCTGAAAACGACTCGTGAGACTATGAAACTACTGAAATAATTCGAAAAAAACACTTTCCTGCAAAATTTGTTAGCCTTTCCGCGGATTCGTCTACTAGAATTAATTTGAAAAGATGCTTTGGGGAAATATTTTTCACGCATAGACATTTGCCCCAGACTACTGTGTATTGAACGGTGAAAACCGCAGGTCGCTATGACTTTCTATTTAAGAGTTATAAGCTTTTCTTCCGCAGGCCTTCTTTAAAAATTGCAATATTACTAGTGTATTCTAATAATTAAATAGACTATTTTTATATGAACTTATATATAGAATAATTTTTTCCTCATAGAAGAATCTTTTCATTAAACTAAAAGGAATTTAATATTTTTAAATAAAAAAAAAACAAATCTTATTTACCAGAATATTGTCCTGGGATTAACGGTGGTGAATAAACATTTTGTTGATGTGCATAACCAAATGGAGGACAATTTGGTTGAATAATAGTTGCTCTAAAGCAAGTAAAGATTTCCTTTTTTTTCTTCTCGCTCTTAATTACATCTAAGAGATTATCATACCTTCCAGGTGCAATAATATCTTCAATCATTGTTGCTTCTTCATCATTCATACTATCTCGAATTGCAAATCCTTGATCTTTTCTCTAAATAATCAATGAAAAAAAAATGTTTTAATTACTCCGCAAAATTCATTTCACAAGAAAAAAAAGTAAACCTTTTTCAAAATAATATCAATATATCCAGCAATTAATTGAGATATTTGTTGACCTTCATTTGTTTGTACAGAATAATAAGCAGTTGCATAATCTCCAAAATCCTATGAGATTTATATTTGAATAGAAAGAGAATTTTTATAGAAAAATTGTTTTACAAGTGTAAATGTATTTGATGATGCTGTCCATCGTTTAACATGTGTTAATGGCCATACTTCAAAAAACTATAAAGATAGAAAATATTGTTTTATTTTTGTTAATCTAACAA